GGGTGCTGGAGCGTGGGGCTGTGCACACCAGTACCTGCTCCCTGCCAATCTCCACTGGCTCCTCGAAGACAGTCCAGACAACGACCTCGCTGCAGTCGGGGGTGGTGAGGGAGCCCTGGTAGCGGTAGTACCCGGAGAGCTGGCTGGCCCGCGGCAGCAGTGTGCTCAGACGGAAGGTGGAGGCCAAATCCACGGACTCCCCTGTGGGGCAAGACATGGCCACTCAGCCCATCCCGTGTCAGGGATGTGGTGGGGACAGTGGGGCCACCTCCATCAGTTTCCCTTCAGCCAGGTTCCCCCCACAGCTTTCTGGGCCACAATCCTGCCCTCCCACACCAGGGTCTCTTCCTTTCTGCCATCCCACACCAGGGTCTCTCTTTTCTGCCCTGCCCCGATGAGGAGGTGACTCACCAGCATGGGAGACGTTTCTCAGCCCCACCACGATGGTGTTGTAGTTGGTGTTAGGGGTTTCAGAGACCTGCAGGTGGGGAGAAGAAGCATCTAAGGCAGGCAGGGCAGAGCTGCATCATCCTGTCCTGCTGAGCACCCGCAGGCAGAGCCTGCTCCACCCCACATTGTTGCAGAGCAGCAGGAAAGGGTTCCCAGCCCACACCCTCTTGCACAAAGTCAGTGGGGGGCCCTGGCACCTTTCATCACTGAGGTTCCTCAGCACCTCCTGGCCTTGACCCCGCCTTCCTGCCCCTTCTTGCTCCCACAGGGCACCTGTACAAAGCTCTCCTGGCTGCACCATCAACACCCTGTTTCTGGGAGGCCCCTCTTCCCAGCAGCATGAGCCCCTGCAGACCCACCTGGTAGAAGAAGCCGAGGACAGCCAGCCCGTTGGGATGCCCCTTGGCCTCTGCCAGTGTCTGGTACTTGACATTCATGTGGACGATGTGCAGCTGAGGAAAGCACAGAGGAGCCAATCGTGGACAACTGCCCCTGGCCAACATCCTGGCAGCAGGGCCCTCTCCTATTGATCCTTCTGGCCAGCCTGGGGTGACCAGACACTGAGTCAACTACTCCCCGAAAAGCCCTCCTTGTCCCACTGGCACATCTGTGGGATGGCTGCTTGGAGGATCAAAGCACCCCAATGAAGTGATCATCCTTTGAAGGGTGTGCAAAACGGGGCCAGCAGTCCCAGGGTGCTTATCAGCCACAAAACAAATTCTGCTTTCCTCTGGCAGATGATGAATATTTTAGAGGTGCAGAGCCTCTTTCACCCAGAAGGATCCCAATGTGCTTGGCACAGCACACTCCCACGTGCTCTCACTTGCATTCACTAACTCAATGTGTGGTCCTGGCAGGGCACAGAGCCCCCCAAACACTGCTGAGTGCCTTGGATGAGGCAGCTCAGCCCAAGCATGGTAAAGAAACACCTTGAGTCTCACGTCAACTGCTTTTTCACCTCCCAGGTGCCTCTGCAGGAGCACAGCTGAACCCATCGGTGCAGCGTCACAGAGTCCCATCACCTGCTGCATGGCAGCCCTGGGATGCCCCAGCACCACCCCTTCCCAGCACACCATGGATTTGGGCTACCCAGAGTGTGATGGGGGCTTTTTCTCACCTACCTCCATAGGGAGCTGGTGCCCATCAAGGGTGTGCTCAGAGCCATTCCCGGCTGGACTGCCCCAGTGAAAATGGAGCTGGAGCGCGCGGTACCTGCCAGGGAGGCCCCCACCACTGATGGTGATGTGCTCAGAGGCCGACTCACTCGCCAGGCTCAGCATCACTGCAAGGGCAGCAGGACAGGGTGAAAAGGTGGTTTAGGATGGGGGACACCTGGCACACCTGGGCTCTTCCTCCAGCACTAACACAAACCCACAGGGCAAGAGCTGCAAGAGGAGGGCAGGAGCACCCTGGAGTGGCAGCAGAGCCAAGCTCGGGATGGGATGGTGACCAGGGAGCCAGGACAGGGGAAGGTGCCCAGCTTCAGCACGCACCTGTGTGCCCATTGTTTGTCAGCTTCCACTTGCCAGGGGGAGCCTGGTCGTAGCCCTCAAAGAGGATGTCCCCGAGGCCACTGTCCCGCTGCAGCCGGTGCCTGTCGATGTTCACAGGGGACTGCTTGTTGCCACCACATGAGGCTTTCAGCTCCTTCCAGTGGCTGGGCCCTGCAGGGGAGGAGCAGGGGCACCATGGGCAGCCACAGAGCCACTGCCACCCCCAAGGGGTGACACAAGGCCACGGGTGGCTGTGTCCCCAGCCAGCCCTGCTGTCCCTGCCAGCCCAGTCATTCTCACTCACATCCCATGGAAGCTGCCCTCCTGCCCAGCAGAGCTTCCTCCCTATTGATGAGCAGGGGCTTATTGCAGCCTCATCCATAATTCAGCAGGATTTCCTCGAGGGGCCGGGGGTTATATTTAGTTGAGCAGCAGCATCCCTCCCTTCACTGGTGCTGGTGAAGGGCAGGCTTTTCTCCCAAACATTCTTCTGCTCGTCCCTGGGTTTCAGCACATCTTAGCCTACCCATGCTGGTTCTGTCCAGCTGTGACAGGTGACAGTGCATCCTGGCCACACAACTCATCCTGGGGTGAATCCTACACAGGGTCCTGTGTGACCACATGATGTCCATCAGCAGCTCCTGGGGTGAGGGGTCACGATGGCAGGAGCTGTGTGAGGACATGGCAACACTGGCAGCCAGCTGGACCCACTGCAAGCCCACAGTGCTGCCTGGGGGGCTATGAGCTGACATCCCCACAACTGCCACCATGGCCAGACCACTCACTTCATATTTGCTTGTCCCCATCATCCTGGCATCAGCTCTTCTTGCAACACTCGTTGCATCCACAACTGGGGGATGTAGCCAACTACCCTCCTGGTCACTGTTCCGGTGTGGCTGCCGTGACACCTCACTCCTTCACCTGGTGCAGCCCAGGCTGCAGATGGCACTGGGCACTGCCGGTACCTGGGCTCAGTCCCAGCCAGGTAACAGGAGCTCCCTCAGTGTCACCAACCCTGCCCACTCAGGGCACCTTCAGTCCCGAGGGAGCTCAGTGCATCCCTCTGCAGACACTGCTGGCTCTGCTCTGGCACACATTATGGCTGGGCAGCCTTTGGCCACAGCCGGGGTTTGGGGAACTGTTCCCCCAGCAGTGCCCCATGGTTCAGCTCTAACGTTTACCTTCCTCTTCAGCAGACAAAACCACAGACACTTGTGGACTGAGTCCACCCCCTGCCCTCCTGGGCTCAGCCCTGTCCCTTTATGTTCTCCTCTCATTACTCTGGCAACTTTTTGCCTGAAAGCCCTGGGAGCCACAGCCTGGCTGTGCCGGCGTCCCACTAGCTTTTTGGCATGGTGTTACTGAGTGGCCCCACAAATTACCTGGTGTGCTCATTAAGGGACCATTCCACATGGGCACACAGCTGGCTGAGGGCACACAGCCGGTTCCACGCTGCCCAAGCCGCTTCCCACCGGCCCCTCTCCCCTGCCAAAACCTGCCCTCACCACCCTGACAACATTAAACTGGGAAAGACCAATCCTTGGTCCAACAGGGATGAGTGGAGCCCAGCAACCCATACTCATGAGCCACGGGGCATGTAAACCCAAGAGCTATAAAACAGTTGGGCCGTAACAGCTGATTAAATGCTTGATGATCTTTAATTAACCTCTTACAAGCTATTTGCATGTTTTGAGACAAAATGCCCCCAGGTATACTTCTCTCCCCAGCCAGACAGGCAGACCTGCTGCCTCCCCAAAGGGAGCTGTCCCTTCTCCAGTCGGGCCCCTGAGCCTTCCAAGACCCTTGCTGCCTGTGCTGCACTGGAGTTTCCAATGGCATATTTTAAATCCAGAATTCCATTTGTTTCAGGTGAAAGGGGGAAAGCTGGTGCTGCCACAGGAGCACTGGTTGGGGTGAGGGGTGGGGCCAAGTCGCTCCGAGGGGCTTGGGTGTTTGTCAAGTCTCTACACCAGCATGCTCCAGTGTGAAGCTCCTCTAACCATTCCCATTTTGGAGAGATATGGGGGCATTTGCCCTTTTCCATGCCATGCTTCCCATTGCGACCCCTGATGCTGCCCAGGGTGCCCTTGGCCAGGCACTGTGGGGTCCAAGCCCCACAAAGCCCTGACAGCCCCACTCCCACACCTGGCACCACTTACCACACTGGGGGTCCTGCGAGTCGTAACACCACTGCCCTGCAGGAGAAAGGAGAGCTCAGGGCAGGTGACAGAGACAGGCACCCCTTCCCAAACCCACACAGGGCTGTGCCCAGCCCCCCAGCATTAAGGACATCCCTCACTGCAGCCTGGGGTCCCGCCGACACTTGTGTTCATCCCAGTTATTTTTGGCTGGTGTTTTCGCACCCTCCCTGCCTCCCCCAGCTACTCCACAGGGAAACCTCCCTCAGAATCACTGCTCCAAGGCAGCCAAGCCTTGCTGCTCGCTGTGCTCCCTTCCTAGCTACTGTGGAGCCATCCCCCCTACCCATCCTAGCAAGGCAGCCCCTCACCCACAGCAGATGCCTTGCAGCCCTACTGCAGCCGTGGGTGAGTGGGAGCCGAGGGGGCTGTGACAGCCCTTCCTGGTGCTCCCCATGGCTCCCGCAGGTGGGCTGGCAGCAGCAGGCAGTTGCTGGTGGCTGCAGCAGGCAGGCAGTGGGCAGGCCTGTGCCCACGCTGTGGGGGTGACGGCTTGTCCCATCACTCAGGACCACCTCAGCCAGAGCTGCGGAACTCCCACCAGCTGCCTGCGCTCAGAAGGGCTGTGGGCACTACCGGTGCAGTGACAAGTGCTGGCACAGCAGACACAGGGATACCAAGGGGATACTGAGAAAGCTGGAGCCCTGTTACTGCTCTGCTGCCTGCACATCTGCCCAGGATCATCAGCTCTGCAATGGAGCTGGGGACTGCACCCCTTCCCTCCTCAGCTCCCCATCCTGCTCCTCGCAACCAGGAGCAAACTGATGCTGCCCAGGGCCAGCCTACACAAACAGTCCCCGCTGATGGCCGAGGGGCCATGCCAGCAGGCCGGCTGCAGGGGAGCCAAGCCATGCTCTTGTGCCAGCCACGGCTGCTCTGACCAGCAGGACAAAGGCAGCCCTGCCTGCCTCCACCTGTGCTGCTCATGGCCCCAGCCTGTGGCACTGCATTCAAATTCTCACTACAGTGATACAAGAGACACCAGCCCCAGAGGAGAACTGGGAGCAGGACAGTGCAGGACTCAGACAGTCCATCCCCAGGGCAGGGATCTCGGGGTGCAGGGGAAAGCCGAACTCCTGGAAAATCCTCAGACCTGCATGCACCAGCCTTCGAGCATCCTCTGGCAGGAGCCAAGGTAGCACTGGCCAGCCCGAGCCTGGCCCAGATGCAGGTGAGCACCCAGCGCCTCAGCCCGGGACTGGCAGCCCCCGTTCGCTTGCAGCTTTCGTCCACAGTGCAGGTCTGAGGGGCGGATGGGCTGAGCCCAAGCCCCAGTGCCCCAAGGGGACTCTGGCCTGGCCAGCACAGAGCCCCGGGCGGGCTGAGACCTCCCGAGCCCAGCGGTGCCCAGGGACATTCTGCAGCGGGGAGGGGGGCAGTGGGAGCACAGAAGAGGGGTCCTGGGCCAGACCAGGTCCCCCAGTCCCTGCCTCCAACCTCCCCAGCCCGCATCATCCCCCACAGCGCGTGGGACGGCAATGGAATAAGCGGTGCCCTACGGGCCCCCAGCCCCACGCTCCCGTTCTCTCCCGCCGCAGGACCCCCGGCCCCGCTGCCCGGGGCGCAGCTCACCTCCCGCGGCCGCTCGCACGACGAGGGGCAGAGTCAGGAAAGTTATGCCGAGCCCGGTGGGGCCCATGGCGGCGGGGGCCAGCGGGGGGACCCCCGCACTGCCCCGTCCCGTCCCTCCGCAGTGCGCCCGGCGGGGCCGGTGCTGGGCTGGGGCAGGCGGCAGCGCTGGCAGCGCCCGCAGCCCGGGAGATGCTCGGCTCCAGCCTGGGCTCTGCTCTTACATATTCATCACCCGGGCTGAGTTTTTAACTCCTCGGCTGCTAGGAGGGAGCGGGGAGAGCCCGGCCCCCAGCCAGCCCCCCGCGCCCGCCAGGTCACTGCCTCCGGTGACAGGGACAGGGACAGGCGGGGAGCGGGGGCTGGCGGATCCCACGGGTGCAGCGCTGCCCGCCCCGCTCCCTGCCGAGGGGGTGCCGCCCGGTACCATCCCGCTCTGCATCCCTAAAGCTGGGGTTCAGCGGCATCCCCACTGCGCCCCATCCTACCCCCGCAGTGTGTGGGACTACAGATGAGATTCAGGGGGCTACCAGTAGGCAGAAGGGGCTGAGGGCACTAACTCTGCCCCATACCCTGCCCACTTCTTGCAGACACATGCTGTGGGACATACTCTTGCCCCCAGCTTTGGCAACGAGCCCCCAGCCAGCAGCGAGTCCTGCATCTCCCATGCCTGAGCATGGTGGCTCCCACCTGCTGAGGGGCAGGTGGTGCCATGGGGACCCACAGGTCAAACCCAGCTCAGACCTGCAAACAGAGGCCCCTGCCTGGGCAAAGCCCAGTGAGCACAGCCCAGTGAGCACCTCCTCAGTGCCCAGGCGGCCTCCACAGCCCCACTACAGGGGACCCTCAGCCCCTGGGCTCACCAAGGAGCCGCACTCTGGTGGGGCAGGATTCAGCCCTTTCCTCTCAGTGGGCACAGGGCTGCAGGACCCAGGCTCTCACAGCCACAGCCAGCCAGGGCAGAGGGACAGCACTGGGGCACAAGCCTTATGCACCCAGTGCAGGCGTCCTGTGCTGGTGGAGGCAGCTCTTCAGCTCCTCATCATGGAGTGAGCACACGCCGTTCCCATTGCACCTGTCCAGGAAGGTCCCACAGGAGCCAGGATTTCACCAATGGAGCTGTGGTCTCTCAGTAGGCAGGTAGGAAGGGAGTGAGAACACAGGAGCATGGTGTTGTCACATTCTCCTAAAATATCCCTGCCATCCTCAGGCAGCAGTGGAAAGGAGGCCACGGGACCCAGGCTGCAGCGCCCCTCACCGGCACTTGGCCCTGGCCGGGAGCTCTGTCGAGCCAGTGCCAGGATGAACAAACCCGAAAGCAGCGCGAGGGCAGCAGGAAGCAGCCTCCTGCTGCCGGCTTGGCCGGGAAGGGGCTCCGGCTCAGCAGAACTGCCTGGCTGCCATGTGCTACAAGGGGTTCATCCTCAGCAGGGGTTCTTTGGGGCACCCCTGTGACCCAAGGCAGCACCAGCCCCAGGCAGGTACCTGGGCAGCACCAAGCTGCATCTGGACCCCAGCAGAGGAGGGCAGCAGCACAGGTCTCCCTCGAGCTCCTCTGGATCTGCGCCATGGCTGACACTTGGCCCCCACTCCGGGGATGAGGTATTCTGCACCAGGTCTGCAGCCTGCTGCCCATTACTGCCAGGAAAGAGAGGAGCTGCTCTGGCACCTGTGAGACCAAAATCTCCATTGGAGACATGAGCCTGCCAAGTGGCACCTCTTCCACCCACCCATAGCGGGACAGCCTGTATTGCCAGGCAGTGAAGGAGAAGCCCAAGACCCTTAGGGTCAGGAGCTGATGAGACCCCCCACCCCATAGCTATTGCTCCCCAGAACACTTTTTTAGGATTTCAGGCTTCTCTGGTGGTGATTTCTAGCAAGGAGGGCAGGAGCAGAGTGGGGCTCAGCACAGCCCCGACGAGAGGCAGGAGCGGAGCGAGGAAGCAGAGGGGTCTGCAAGGCATGTGGAAAGACAGCAGCAGCACTGAGGTGCTGTGCCACACCCTGCTCCCACCCATCCCCACTGCCCCGCTCCCCAGGGTGCACCGCTGGCTGCCCGCACCCGTGCCAGGCAGGAGCAACCTCCAGTTTCTATAGGAACCAGATCAAACCTTGAAATTGCTGATGTGTTGGTGGTCGTGCTGAGCTCACGGCTGATCCTGCAGCTCTGTGCTGTCCTCACAGGGAGACACCACGTCCATCAGGCTGCCACCGCGGAGCCAGGCGAGGTCCCTGCAGACACGCGTAGTCACAGCACCAAGGGCAAGAGCCAGGACAGGGGAAAAAATACCACTGAGATATAAAAATAGTTCCTTAAGCTGCAGCCATCGATCAGTTGTGGGCACGGTGCCACTGTGCTGGGAACCCCCACCACGTGCACCGTCAGCAAGCCCTGTGCCAGCACCCAGTGGAGGTGCCAAGAACAGCTCCTGGAGGTAAATCCTACACATCCCGCCTGGGAGCCTGGCCGGGGACCTGGGCTGACAGGAACAGTGACAAGACAAAGACTTGAGCCACCAGGGTGTGGTTCACACCACCCACGGATGGATGCACGAAAGGTTGTGGGCATCCAGAGAGGCAAGTGGGTAAAGTTCATGGGCAATAAATACTCCAGCCACTCCTGATTTGCCGTAACAAGCTGCTGCTAGCCCAGGCAGCAAACCGGGAGCAGGGCAGGGAGCGCAGCAGCAGCAGGCACAAAGGAGGCACTGTGGCCAGCAGATGCGCGCTGGCCCCACGCCGCTGCACAGCCCCTTCATTCATCCCACGCTCCCACCGCCGTCGGAGTCAGCGACATCTCCCCCCCCACGGCCTGGCACCCCCGGGGGCACTGCCAGCACACGGTCCCTCGTGTGTCTGACACGCTCCCCAGGCCCTGGCGCTCTCCCAGGGGCTGAGGGCCCCGGACACGCCGTGCTGAACACAACTGCTCATCGCCCTCCCAGAGAAACGCGTTTTAAGCTGCTAAGAGTTTACAGCAGGCTGCCCAGCAATGCTCTACCACAGCAGCCGAGGGTCACCACTGACAGGGCAGCCCTCCACACGTGTCCCTGGGGAGCGGGGGGGAGCCCCGAGAGCCGTGGCCATGCTCCAGGCAATCCGGGCTGTTCCCCATGGGAGCTGTCCTGCCCCCAAGCAACGAGGAGCAAGAGGGAAGGGCGAGTTGTACCTGCACAGGATCTTCCAGCAAAGGCAGAGCCCCACGGGGTCCCTGCCAGACTGAGCCCCTTCCAAACGCCCGTGACATCAGGCAGCTGCTGTGGAGGGATGTTTGCCTCCCCCAGACCAGCAGCGAAGGAAGGGCTGCATCGCATCGCCTTTAGCTGACCCAGCATCCCGCGGGGATGGAGCTCTGGAGCTGTGCTGGTTCAAGTCCAGCAGCGACGGCGGCGGCTGCGGTGGCAGCTGCCCTCTGCAGGCACAGGAAAGGGGGAGCGGAGCCCTGCCTGGCCCCCGCAGCGACGATGACACTGCCCCTGGATGGCTTTCAGCAATGAACGCATCCTGCGGCCCCGAGGAGGGCACGGGACGGCCCCGCAGCGCTGCGGGGACTTGTTCCACAGCGCTCACAGCAATCACTGCGTGCCCAGCGGCTCGTGGAAAACAGGGAGCTGGGGGTCCAGACCACCCCCTCCATCCAGCACAACCTCCTGCCCCGGCACTCAGCACCTTCCCACGGGCTTGGGGAGGGCAACAGGAATATACTGCACTTCACCTTCTTGGGTATAACCCCAAGACTTTCCTAAAATTACACTAATACAGGTAAATCCCACTGGAATTTGCATAACGAGGACTTTGGCAGCCTCCCTGTTCCATGTTAAATGCATCTATTGATCTTCTGCAAGATCACAGCTCAGAAGTGTGATTTAACAAAGCCTTCCTTCGCAACGCTGGGGAACCACATTGACGCAGAAATCAGGAGACATTTGAACAGGACATTTCTCTTACAGAACACAATTTATTTGGCATTTGGATGAAATGTTTCTCACAGCATCTTGAGAAAAAAAAAAAAGATAGATTAGTGCCAACCCCAAAGAAGTTAAAACAAAAAATCAGTGTCACAGGGACTCAATTATTATAGTATCAAATTTAAATTCTACATGGTATTTCACAGAATATCAAAATCTTTTATACACTGCCACAGTTAAGTCCAGTCACAAACCAATTACACAGGAGAAGCCTGCAAGTGCAGCGCTGGCTAAAACGATTTTCCAGAGGAAGGTAAAAAGCAGTGTCTCTTTCTCTCACAGCCTCCCAGGCACCCTCAGCCCAACAGGCAGGGTGTGGCACAGCACGGCCACCTCTGCTGGCATCGACTCCGACCCACTCAGCACTCAAGGTGCACATACCAGAAAATTAAAGCTATGTGGTACCGCAGCAGGCAGGTAATGCTGACTGTTGTTACGAGAAGTGCACCTTTATCACTGAAAGCATCTATTCCAAAGAAACGCTTATTTCATTTGGGACTGGGGAACATCGGAAGCAAACGTACGGACTTTGCTTCACCTCCTACACTCAACTGCTGTAATTTTAGGGTTCAGCTCCCAATTTGAAAGGGGAATTTAAAAGAAATTTCTTTGCATGTTCATTAGCTAGGGAGAAAAAAGACATTTCAGCAACTGAAAAAAAGAGATGCGCGTTAGGGATTGTACGAGGCAACATTAAAACATCAGTGCTTTGTCGTTGAGAAGTCACATCCGAAAGATAAAAACATGCTCAAAAATAGCTTCAAGTTTGTTTAATATGAGATGGGAAAAGAATGGTAACAATTATTGGTCACAAAACCCCACTTTCTTCCCAAGTTAAACTTGGGAGACGCCTGAACAGGTCATCACAACACCCATGGAGTCAAGGCACCGCCCGACCGCAAGATTAAGCCTTCAGAAAAAAACGTCCACCTACTTCATTCTTCTTCTAGATCAGCGTCCTGCTGTGCATGGATAAAGGAACAGTCTGAGGCTCAAACTAAACAGGACTGAACATTACACAGACAAATTTTTTCGCATATTGGAATGACAGTGTTGATCTAGCACAGAACAGGACCCTCTGCCCCTCTAACATTTAAACCCTACAACTCACCTAGTACAGAATCAGGGGCTGCTGTGACACTGTACAGGGGCATCACTGACAAACCAGAGTAACTGGGGCTGCTCTTAAGGAACAGCAGAGACCTCCTATGGCACCACAGTACATCAAAA